ATTATTACTCCATCTAAAAATGAATGGCCTAGAGGATACATATATTTGTATGTCGATTTATCTAAGATTTTTAATGGCGTGAGAAGTTGCATGGTGACCAGGTCATACCTCAAGTTTAGGTGTCACGGTGAGGCTACGACTTTTTTTAAGACGTGATTTATGGCGGCAAATCTTTAAATTATATATATAAAGGTTGGTTATTATACAACCATTGTCATTTGTGCAACCAATACAACCCAATCTCAACCGTCCATTTCATTTGATTAATATGTGATTTTATAGAGGTTTTGATTATTTCCTAATATAAAGTATTAACCATAATTAATGAACCGTATTCATCTTCCATAAATATTTAAATCATAATAAATGAACTCTAATCATTTCCATAAATATTTCAATTTATTGGGTTGCATTGGTTGTATAAATGCGATAGGTTGTATTTGAAATAAACCCTATATATATATATATATATATATATATATATATATATATATATACAGGGTTGGGTTCCGTTGAGAAGGGAGAAACATAAAAAGAGATCTCCACCTTTGGATCAATCATAATTTAATGTCAACACTAATGAGCTTCACCAAGATGCGCAAGATCAATTTATTTCTAAAACGCAATTCATTGGTGTGCATGAGATTAAAAGTGATTAAGGGTTCAAATCTCTTCTAACGTTTCTCACACTTCTCACACACGATCCTTTGCCTTTGGTTCACGTGAAACAAAGTTGTTTTCGTGAGACACATGAGACAACATTTTTACACTTGAAACTTCACAACAAATGTTGTGAAGGTAAAAAAGTTCTGAACCTTCACAGTGTTTTGTTGTGAAGTTTTAAGTGTAAAAATGTTGTCTCACGAAAACAACCTTGTCTCACATGATCCCAAATATATGTATACATATATAAGGAAGGGTTCAACCGAGAACACCTTCATTTTATGAGAACACGAGAACACCCTTTTATTATAGACAATTACATGTAATACTATTATTCAATCACATGGGGTGATTTTCGGCACGATTTTGGTTGCGGCCCAAGTCGTCCTTACACCACTATGCCCTTCACATGTATTATCACATGTGATAAGGGTGTTGTTGATATGATACTATAATCCATCAAGATTATCACATGTGATGTAAAATCATAGACGCAGACAACCTTTGACACGACCTAAGTCGTAGAACACGTCTTCCGCATACCACCATGTCCCCTCACGCGTATTATTACATGCGATAAGGGTGTTCTAGCATTCTCATAAAATGGAAGTGTTCTCGTTTGAACCTTTCCACACACACACACACACACACATATATATATATATATATGTATATATATATATATGTATGTATGTATGTATGTATGTATGTATGTATGTAGAGGAGCGATCAAATGCAAACCACCCGTATTTGTAAAACCGTCCAAATTACCCTCATCTGTCGATTTTATTGTTTAATTTTATGACATATTTTATGAAATTGTTTCATATAGTACTTTTTGATGAAGTTGTTTCATAAATAATTATAAAATTGTTTCATATAATACTTATAAAATTTTAATTAAACTGTTTCATGTATTTCTCTAAAATTAATATAATAAAAATGATAATATCAATGATTAACACATTTCACAATAAAATTAATTAATCAACTTCTCATAATTACAAAAAAAATGAACAAAATAAAAAATTATGATCTGTTGAATAGAGTTTGTACGGTTTGTACAAATAACGTGATTTGCAAAGTAAACCTCTTCTATGTGTATATATATATATATATATATATATATATATATATATTAGATCATATTCACTTAAATCAATATGATTTTAACCAATAAATAACGCTAAAACAACACAATAGTTATTGATCAGGGATTTATGACTTGTTTTATTAAATATAATATAACTAATAAGTATCAAACTTAAAATTTAATTTTCAAATTTATTTTTTTTTAATTAAAAATTAGTCCTAAAATTATGAGTTTTAGTTAAAGAATTTTTAAATTCAAGTTACTAATATGATTATTTTTTGGTTATAAAATAAAGTGTTGTGTCTTTTTACGTATTTAATTTTAAATTTCACGGTTTTTCATTATAAAATAACCGGATGATAATTGTTGTATTTTTTTTAATTTTTTGGTATTTTTAATAAAACTGATACGCCATTGAAGTCGTATTTTTTAACTTTTTTAAAACCAAATTTCATGGGTAAATGTTTAAAAATAAACCTTTATAATTATGGAGAAGCAAAAATTATTTTTATCTGTTTTGGGTTTCGTAAATCAGATATAATATCTGATTGACGAAATTTGACCTCTATTTTGTCATTTTGTGTTTTTWAWTTAACAATTAAGGGGTGTTTTTAATAAAAATGGAAAAATACATAAAATGTGTCTTTTTACGTATTTAATTTTAAATTTCATGGTTTTTCGTTATAAAATAACCGGATGATAATTGTTGTATTTTTTTTTAATTTTTTGGTATTTTTAATAAAATTGATACGCCATTGAAGTTGTATTTTTTTAACTTTTTAGAGCCAAATTTCATGGGTAAAGGTTTAAAAATAAACCTTTATAATTATGGAGAAGCAAAAATTATTTTTATTTGTTTTGGGTTTCGTAAATCAGATATAATATCTGATTGACGAAATTTGACTTCTATTTTGTCATTTTGTGTTTTTTATTTAACAATTAAGGGGTGTTTTTAATAAAAATGAAAAAAATATATAAAGTGTGTCTTTTTTACGTATTTAATTTTAAATTTCACGGTTTTTCGTTATAAAATAACGTGATTTCATGTTTTGTGATGGTTGATTGTGTTTAGTAGGTTAAATGTTGTGATGGTTTATTGTGTTTAAATATATGAGAAGAGAAATGGAAGGGAAGATGTGAAAAACTATGAAGTAGGACGTTGGTATTTATAGTGAAATTGGTATTAGAAAAAAAAAAAAAAAATTTACCCGGATCACCCCCCGTACAGTACGGATCGCCCCGGGGGCGAGGTCAAACACGGTCAACGAGAATGAACAGTAATCTCGACTTTTGAGTAATTTTTTTTTTAGACTTAATGGTGGGATCGCCCCCATAGTGTACGGATCGCCCCCGGGGGCGATCCGTGTGGTCATTCCGGTAAAACCTCTAAAATATGGTTATTTTGTGGCAAAGGGTTGTGTAAACCGGTTATTTTTATAAATTTCCCTTATTTTATCCATGGTCTAGCTAGCATAATATTAAATTAAAAAAACTTAAGAGTTATTTTTTACACATTTTTCGAAACGTAAGAAGAGATTTCTATCATTGGATGCATATTAAGATGAAATACACTAGATTAATTCTTGTATCAAGCATGTTCATGGACAGATCTAAAGGTGATTAAGGGTCCAGATCATTTATTATGCTTCTTACTTTAACTCTTATTTTCACAAGATTTATTACCTAACAATATAAATGACAGGGGCCAAACATGTAATTAGTCAAAGATTTATATAAAATATTTTTGAATTTTTTTATATAAAATAAAAGTATAATAAGTTTCAAAAAAGAAGAAGCAACAGTATAATAATGAATGTAAATTTAGGAAGTATATTATGAGTGGGAGGAAAAAAGGAAAGAAAATTCGCGATGCGTTACACGCGTCAGCATAGAAAAGTCGTGGGGTACGTATGTGAGGTTGAGTCAATCCCAGTTTTCAAATCAAGAGAGAGAGATAGATATAGATATAGATAGATATATCTCTCTCTTCTCTCTCTCTCTACAATTTCTACTCTCTAAAACAATTCCTTCTTCTAGATTTACAGCTGAATTCTCTCCGATTCATCGCCCCGATTCTAGGGTTTTTACTTTCCCCCCTCTATACTGGTAAATATTTCTGCATCATACTTACTTATGTACTTTTCGCTATATTTCTCTTCCTTTTTTCATATGCATGTTCAATTTTTTAATCGTTTCCAGTCCTTTTGATTTACAATATCCATTTGCTCATATTTTCTTTATACCATCTTAATAATTACTTGTGAATCGTAATTGAATTTGGGTGCATGATGCTGTAATTCGAGGTTGGGGTTCCATTTGGGTGGTTTTGACGAATCCGAGGGTACAGAGTACGTTTATGTATTTTACCTTGTACTGAATTGGTTAATTCAGCCTTCCTATTGAAGTCTTTAACTTGGGTTTGGCCGTAAAACTAGAAAAATAGACGGGTTGACATTGATATCATTCATGCATGAGCATATTATTGGGAGATATAATCAATTATATGTGGTTCTATGATAAATTGGGTGCACGATGTTGCCCAATTGAAGTTTGTGGTGCCAAAGAGTGATAATTCTATGGGGTTTTTCGGTGTCTTATGAGGGCTGACATTGATATCTCTCATGCATGAGCTAAGAAGCATATGATGTGATTGTAACCTGGGTGGTCTTTCTAATGTGTTGTGATATGATTCTGCAACTTCTATAACTATGCTACCATGTAATATTTCAGGAATACCATCCTAAATTAAGATGGAACCTAATATCTGGAATACATTTGTTAGTTTATCCATCTTTCATTTTTTGCGGAACCTTAGATGGAAACATGGTAACAGAACTACCCTTCAGAACCATTTAAATCTGTCCTTTCTAGGTCTGCTTGATATTGAGCTGTGTTTATTCTTTTGAGTGTTGCCTTTATTTTTATATTTTTTACTCGGCATATATTGTTTTGAGCATGAAACCGAGCTGTTCACTTCATCTACTGCAGGTAGACCTTACTGACACAGTATAGCATAAGCTCCATGTCCTCTACTGCCATGCGGGGAAATTCATCTGATTCATCTTCGCCAGAACAATCAGTAGACAGGGAATCAGAGTCTGATGAAGTTCTGAGTGAGGAAGAGGACGATGTTAGCAAAGAAACACAAAATGCGCCTTTTCCTTCAGGTGCTTCTAACTTAATATGCTAATCGGTTAATGTTTGCATTCATTAAATTGATTTGTAATTATGGGTATACTGTTAATTTTGACTTCTAAGAGAATGGTAAGATCGTAGGAGGGTTTCAAATGCTTTGCTTAATGAGATCTTATTATGTGTGGCATGGATTTCTTATTGATTGTGTGACAGGAAGAATTAATATGTTTCTGCTTTATAAATCATCTTCACATTATATCTAGGGTTCAATATGTACATACCTATTAATTCTCACATTGTCGAAACAGGATGTTGACTGGAAGATTAGAGTCATAACCTACCCTTGATGGTATTTTGTTAAGCTTCTTTTGAGGCTAAAGAGTGTTCATCTAGGTTCCTGCATGGAGTTTAAGCTATGTATTCTTTTACCCAAACTTGCTAATAAGCAAAAACTTACAAGGCACAGCCTTAATGGTGAAGTGCAATTGGCCATGTGTCTTGACCAATTCTCAACCGCTCCAGATAACCCCTGCATACCTTGTTGGTTTTATACTTTGATAACTTTTAGAAGTTCAGTTTGGCATTAGATGTCATCAAGAATTTTTTCAGAGATGTCAAAACACACAGTTTCACTTTATTAGAACAATCCAGGAATAGGCCCTTTTGAGGCCCTATTCCTATCAATCCTAAATTCTTTTCTCTGTTGTCCTTTCTCTAGGTTTTTGTTTTTTAAGGTTGCATTTTCTTCTATTGGCAATTATCTGCTACATATTCGTTAGTGACACCAAAAAACCTAATTTTATCAATTCAACATCTTCAACTAGGAAGTAGAATAGTAATAAATGATATGCAATCTTAATTATATGACTTGCCCTGTTTTTGCCACTCTTCTCATTCTTTATCTAATGATATTCAAATATTTTGACTTTGCCTTGCAGTCTCACTTCTATTTCATTCTCAGGGTTCAGCTATCACACCCTCACTTCTTTCTGTAGATTATTATACAACCAGCTATTCAGCTGACAACTGCTAACTAAGGGCTTACACTTCTAGTGTGAGGTCAAGGTTTGACTCTACCCATTTTCTCTGGCTTGAGCCCAACTTTTGGTCAGAAAATATAAAATATAATTATCAATCTGAGTATAAGTAATGAAGTTTCATCTAGAATCGTTGGCTCCACTGTGGTCACTTGGTTTGCCATTAGCAGGAAGTAGACCTAGGAAGGACCTGATGGGGTCAATTTCAATATATGTTAAATCCATGGGTAAATTTGGTAAAATGTGGAGACAGTGTGGTTGTTTTGAAATCATTAACCCCACGACTAATTCAGGCTGTCAAAAGCTTGGTTTGATTGCTGCACTCTAGAATCCCTATTTTTTCTGGCCCATTATACTAGTTGAGAATTTCCACTGGAACTAAATTTAACAACTGTCATATATTTCTAGCGGCCTTCGCATTATAGAACATCCTATTTGAACAGCAAATTTAACAGTCTTCACATATTTTCTGGGCCTGTTATGTTGGTAAAAGATATTACTGAATCTGAACTTTTGATTCACAAATTAAACAAACTTCAATCAGCTTCCTATGCTTGTCAAAATTTTCAAATTGGTTCCTTTTTCTGCGTAGATGTCATTCTAACCAATGTATTATGAGGAGAAATCAATTTATCATGCCTATGTTGCTGCACTTATTTCTTCATATTAATTGACAAGTTGAATGGGAGAAATAAACAGAAGTTCTACTAAACCATTTTTAATACGATGCAAAACTCTGTATGATCTGCAAAAATTTCTAATTTTGGAGATACTTCTTCTGACGATATGCCTCTAGGACTTTCTGGCACTTCCAACTTCATGATTGTTTTGTGACATATTTTTGAACTATTGATAGGGTTGAAAATGATTTGCGTACTAGTTATTATTGAGAGCGTTAGTTTAAAATAGATGATCTCTGTGTAAGCTAATGTCATTGTTGAAATTAAATTGAAACTGGACAGACCATGCCTGGTAATGTTAAATATTAATGGAACTACTTTAAAATATTGATTTTTGTGTGATCTGTTTTTAGTCAAAAGCTCATTTGGTGATATATGATGGTTGTTAAACAGCGGCCTCTTTGCTCTTGTATGAGAGAGATGGGAAGAGAAGTGTGCAGAGAGTCAAGATCCTTTTTTCTTATCAAAAGAATATTGTGCTAAAAACAGCAACCATCTTGGTTATGTTATTAATGGCGATGTTAACCCCAATCTTGATACATATGATCTAATTTACCAAACTGACACCAAATTGCTGAAATTTAGCTCTGCCCTGACCAGGCCTTGTGGTTTTCCATACCACTGCCATCGCTTCAACTTCCATCGGCATCTCTGGTTTTAAGATATCTGATTATTTTATTAGATGTCTGTGTACATGCTCCTAATTCTTTCAGACATACCTAATATTGCAACCTCTTAATATTTGAAGTTCCACTACATACTTGTTTCATTCATTGTCTAGCAGTCTAAAGATTATTAGCTAGATTCTTTTTGACTTGGCTTCTCTAAAGTTTTCCTTCTTGCACTTGTATATTTCAAAATATTGGTGGAAATTTATCCATTGATTTTCCCTTTTCCTTGTTGAGATTTCAGATAGAGCTATTTCAAACCTTTCTTTGGTTTTCCTGATTTCATAAAATGTGAATCACTTAAAACTGTTGCAAAATGAAAGCTAGCCCTCATGACTTATTGGATAGTTCCATGGCTTAATAACATGATCACATGTTCATATAAGTCTGGGTTGGCTGCTTTTAGTTCTTATTTCACATATTCATTAGTTTTCAGTCTCTGAGAAGGTGGAACTTCTTGTTGTTTGAATCTACTTCAAGAAGGGAACCTTATTCGATAGGCAAAAATCTGAGGGTGAATACTTTTTGCAGATTAAAGAGAGAGTGAACAAGGTCTTTGTAGTTAGGATTGGATGCTGTTCCCAATGTGTTAGTTGGCAATTCATGTGTTCCAAAGCATGATATTACCAAGAGTTTTGCAAAACCTGTTATGAATAAATAATTTTGCATTTCACTATTTTTATGCACAACCTTAGTGATGATGGTAGTCACTTGTCAACAGAACCATACAAGATGTACATGTCCTTCATGGTATGTTATTAGCAAACATTCAAGGGACTTGTTGAACAACTTTACTGTATGTGCACCGGTAATTTTACTCGCTGGTGCTCTATTCTCTGCACTAGTTCTTTATTGTTCTAATTGCCATAGCGAGTCTTTTATCAGGGTACTGCCTGACTTTATTTTTGGTCTTTCATTTTCACGTAATACTGATGATGAACACCCTTTGAGGTCAGATAGCTATGGACAAGAGCAGCAAAATGTTCAGCAGGGAGTACCAAACATGCTTCCAAGTAATGAACAAACCCTTGGGCAGGTTCCACTCGAACTTGTTGGACACTCAATTGTAAGCTTCTTCGCGCTCTTTTTTGTATTTGTTATATTTTGTACATTTTTATGACTGCGTCTGGGCTTGTGTGGTCATCTGTTCTCAAAGTACGTGGTGATTGTGTTGTTTTGCAGGCCTGTGCTCCAAATCCATATTGTGATCCATATTACAGTGGAATGATGGCAGCGTATGGTCAGCCTTTGGTAAGATACGGGATAACAAATATCTATAATTTAATGTCAGGTCATCCTGGGTACCTAGTCAGTCAACTGGATGCTTGGCTATACAAAGATGCTTTGGAGTTAATAATCTTGTCAAATAGGTGTTTATACCCAGTGCTATATAGTCTAACTATTTTGTGTCATGTGCTGCTTATTTTTCTGTTACTGGACCTCTTGGATTTGGCTCATGGTTAGACGGCTAAGATAAGCAGTTCAGTCCACTTACTCTATAGTGAAAAGTGAAAAGTGAAACATGTGAAAGTGAAAGGCTGAGTTCCCAAAGCTTTGCTATTCAAACAAGTTACTTGGGACTGCTTTTATGTCCTCTTAGCTTAATGCTGAACTACGTGCTGGAATTGTGATCTAGTATGTAATTTGAGTTTCGTAATGGAAGAGAGAGAAAGCTATGGGTGGGCTTTCATAGAAATGTACTCACATTACATATAATTTCATTTGGAAGCATAATTTTCATGATCTTTTTATGATTCAGAAGTTCAAACAAGATTTCCTGGTATCTAGTGAATAGTGTATGGGGCAGCACTGTGCTTTGTTGATGTATGTATAGAGCTATACTGTTGAAACCACTGGTTGATGTTTTTTAGTTCAGTGGTCCTCTCCAACAAAGGTATGTCAGTAGAAGGGATAAGTATAATCATAGGGGAAAAGGAGAAAGCCTTTAGAGGTCTGGCTGGAACCACTAAACACAAATACCCAACGTCAAGACCACAGCCCGTCAGCCCACCACCTCACCCATAAGAACAAAAAGAAAGATGAAATTTGAAGAACAATGACCAAATGAGTTAACTTAGCTTATTAGCTTCAAACTTGGTCTGAAGTCTCAGGTTCTAAACCTCTCATCCCATTGCCGTTGATTAAAACTTTTGCCACAGACAGGTAAACTGTTGTAATGGTACATGTATATAAAGATTAGACATTGCACTATGCATATATGTGTTTTATGTATCTGTATATATGCATGCATACAGATCACCATATGGATGGCGTAACATTAATTTAATGGTGATTGAAAAGTTTTCTTCATGTATATAAGTGGAGTCACCAAGGCATGGTTTGTGTTTTCTAGGTTCATCCTCAGTTCCTTGATATGCACCAAGCGAGGATGCCATTGCCCCTTGAAATGACACAGGAGCCTGTTTATGTGAATGCGAAACAATACCATGCAATATTGCGGCGAAGACAATCACGTGCCAAGGCGGAGCTTGAAAAGAAGCTGATAAAAGACAGAAAGGTCAATTATGTTTCAGTTTTTGTGTCATGCTAAACAACTCAGACGAAATCATGGAAAGCATAATGCCTGTGAAACATCAAAGATAAATTTGGTTTGGTAAATTACTGATGTGCCCCTTGCATGTCATGTCATCAATGTGTACAGAAAAAGGAAAACTGTAAAGAGTGATTACATAGTCGCACAAATTTTAAGAATCTAATTTGACTTAAGATGGATATCTGCGTAATATTAAAATGGACTATAGTGTGAGGCATTAGAAGCAGCCGTAAAGAGGACCAAGAGCATTTGTCTAGTATGGTCCGGTCATATACAACTTGGATTTGAATCGTCGTCCAAGTGAATGCAGATACAATATAAGAAGGCATAGTTCAATCCTGATGAAGATGGAGGTATATTTGACGAAATATCCTTGCTGCCATTTGTATTTTTTATGTTTTTCTTACCATATGTTTTCGAGTTGCAAAACCATCTGATTTCCCTTTTCAAGTCATAATTAGGATTAAGGCTCTATTACTTTGACCTGTGTGGTAGTTATTATATGCTGATGCATCTTATCTTTAGCTCTATTCATTGGTGAATAACTTGTTACATTACCCTCTATTTTGGTAATTTTACAGCCTTATCTTCATGAATCTCGGCATCAGCATGCTATGAGAAGGGTGAGGGGTTCCGGTGGTCGTTTTGCAAAGAAGACTGAAGTTGATTCCTTAAAGCGTGCAGATGAAGATAAGAACACGACTGCTTCAGGCTCAGCTATCTCATCCCAGTCTGTGAATTCAACAGGTATAAAACGTATGCGATTAGAATCTGCTGAGAGTTTGGACTTCCACAAGGAAACAAGAGGGGACAGATTGGTAAATTCTCTGAGGTACAATAACGAAGACAATTACCAGGCATCAGGGTATCATTTGGATAGAGGGGATGGAGGTTCTTTAGGCCAGCAGTGGATAAGCATATCATCTAACCAGGCTTCACAGAGGGCTGTTGCCATGAAGTGAAGTCAGGTGTTCGATACCACTCTACGGCTTTCTTGAAGCTGGCCGGCAAATCATTCTTGGCTCTGGTTTTAATGCAGAAGGGAGAGGGCAAAAAGGTAAATGTACCTTCCAATTGCCTCTTTTCACTTTTAAGATTTTCTTTTCCATGATCGGTGTCTGTGTACAAAGTATGTTTTTTGAGGTTAGAAAGAATTGGTGTGTTTGTGTTTTGTTTTCTGAAGGTTTGGTATTTGGAATTGGATGGTGAAGCATCAATGATTGGTCGTATCTGTTCTCTAACGTTAGTGGGTCCCAGCAGGTGTAATGTTGTTGAAATTTTAGAGCTTCATATTTGCTGTTTTTCACCTATGGTTGTAGGAAGGAGGGGGTTTGTTTTCTTTCTCTTGTGGAAATGGTTTAAACTTCCGGTCAGGACTCCAATGACCTGAATCTTCGAGCATCGAACATGGGTGATCTGTATGTGGTAAGTGGCTCGGTTGAGTAGTTGAAATAGGAAGGAGAGAGAGATCGATGAAGGGATTCTAGTAAGACCTGGTGATCGATGTTTTCATGCATTCATGTTTCAGAGTACCTAACCAGATCAGTTGTATGTAATGGTAATTGGTGTTGTAATTTTCATGAATCGAATGTTTTCCTTTTTGTTTTTGTGAATCAGGGCCAGGGGTGTTAGAAAATCCTCACAACTGATATCTCGAGAAGGATATCCAAATATCGTACGAGTCGGTCGACCAATCCAAACATCTCAACCAATGTTGTCAAATGAGTTTTAACTTGCACACAAATTACTTATAATTTTCTTATAATATAAAATTATTATATATATATAGAGGAGCGATCAAATGAAAATCGCATTCATTTGTGTAAAATAATCTCATCTATCTATTTTCTTGATCAATGATCAAGATTAGTTTAGATTATATTAAGAAATTAAAAAAAAAATTATAATCCCAAAAAGGGCAAAATGGTAACTTTGGTAATAGTGATATTAATGTCAACCATATCATGTATATCGTAATATTAATTAAACAAAATCATTTGTAAAATAATATATTAATTTTATGTTCAAATATTATAAAAAAAAACATCCATTATTAAAATAGATCAATAATAAAAATAAAACACACTATAATCAATTTAACATAATGAAACCTTTTGAATAATAATAATAATAATAAATTTACTACTACATTTCATGAACGACATGGTTTCACAGTTTCATCAATACACAAATCAGCGTAATGCTAAATGAGACATTTGTCATTTTCAAGTTCTTAGTAGATGGATCCGTTTCAATCTAATTATAAAATGGTTTCACTGTTTGCTGATTAAACAACATGATCTTAACAATTATGAAATGGTTTCTTTGTCGTTATGCACTCATTTCATCGACAAAGTTTCTGCAATCTGACATGGTTTCACGGTTTCATCAATACACTAATCAACGTAATGCCTGATGAGACATATGTCATTTTCATGTTATTGGTAAATGGATCCGTTTCATCGTAATAATGAAATTGTTTCACTGTTCGCTAATTATACAACATTTTCTTATCAATTTTGAAATGGTGTCACTTTCTTTATGCACCCATTTCATCAGCCAATTTCTTCCAATTTCTTTATGCACCCATTTCATCAGCCAATGTCTTCATGCACCCTATTTATCATGCACTCATTTCATGATGCACTCATTTCATCATGCACCCATTTCATAATCATTTTCACTTACTCCATGCACCAATTTCACCATGTATGAAACCGGTTTCATCATGCACTCATTTCATAATCATTTTTACTTACTACATGCACCAATTTCACCATGTATGAAGCCGTTTTCATGAATATTTTATTTTTATTTTTATTACTGATTTCATGGATTTATTAATCTAATAACTTACGATTTTCATAAAATTTGGCAATAATAAACCGAGACACAATATAACAAAATCCAATTTTTAATATTATAATTTAATTAAATATTTAAATGTTATCATTTATAATTTTTTTATTATGTTACCTTAATTAAGATTTATTAATAACTTCCATATTTAAAAGAAAACAATACAAATGACCAATATACCCTTAATGTTTAAATTTAATTAGAAAAAAAAAAGAATTTTCCTATTGGTCGAAATTAATTTATACGGTTTCTAAGAATTGCACGATTTTCATTTGAACGTGCCCCTCTCTCTTTCTCTCTCTCTCTATATATTAAAATACAAATGAAATATGAATAATATCCATGCTAATAAATTTATATCAACATCTAATAATTTTCATGTATTTATGTTGTTAATTCAATTAACAAAATATTGTTTCTTGTTCGTAAACATTTAATTCTAAAATTCTTATTAGAAGAGTTTAACTTATTAAAAACTTTTTATTATCGATTTAACATCGGTATAAATTATTTATTTAAACACTCAAAAAATATTTATTACTTATATCCACCAAAATAAATCGATAAATTATTTTTATAACCAATCTCAAACATCCATCCTATTTTAAAAGTAACATAATTTATAACCATAAAATTCTCAAAGTTTGAGGGACGCATCAGAAGCCGGGTTTCCTTTTTATGTGGATCGATCGGAAAACGACTGACGGTGGCAAAATCTTCCGTACACTAGACTGAATTTCATCTGCCATCCAAGTAAGCCGCCATGAAAGCCGATCATCGGTTGCTTCTAATCGTTACACTACTAATTTCATCACTACTTCTCTCGACTTTGGTACACGTTTCGAGAGCTGAAGTCATAACCCTAACCGAAACTACCTTCTCCGACAAGGTAATTTATGGTTTCTTCATATATCTCCTATTTTAGTTTTTGTTGATTGACTCTGATTGTTGTGCCCTAAGATCTCGGATTATCCGCTTCTTTCTATGGTATCAGTGCCCTAGTTATACTCCATACTCGTTTGAACGAATTTTGTTTTGAATCTGGATGTATTATCGATACGACCAAAAATAGTGCTTTTCGATGGCAATATTGATTGGAGTTGTAACATTTACAACATTTATCTTGAGTACTTTTTTGTTTGTCAAATATACTTTCGAATTTTCCGTGAACTAGCGATGAAGTAAGAAAATGGTCTACTTGACCTAAAAATTCTTCTCTTTGAAGGTGGAGTGAGCAACAGTTCGTAGATTTTCCATCTTAATCTCTACATGTTTTTTTTTTTTTGCTTCGTGTGTGCTAAGTTTTTGTGCTTCTTTATTTAGGTGAAAGAGAAAGACACTGCTTGGTTTGTGAAATTCTGTGTCCCATGGTGTAAGCACTGGTGAGTAACTATTTCAATCTATCCATGTATTGCATGAATCAATCTGATGATGAGTTTGAGATGTTTGTTTTTGTTCTTTCAATTTGTAAAACATTACCAGTAAGAGCTTGGGTTCAATGTGGGAGGATCTTGGAAAGACTATGGAACTAGAGGATGCGATAGAGGTCGGTGAGGTGGACTGTGGTGCTAACAGACCTCTTTGTTCGAACGTTAAAATTGGATCGTACCCCACATTCAAGCTTTTTTATAATGGAGAAGAAGTTGCTAGATATCGAGGTATGGTATACTTTCATCTTTGCTTCTCATTTATTCCCCATCAACATAAAAGTTCCGTTACATTCTTAAACATGCAATTAGATATTAGTTGCTTGTCACTGAAGTTTCTATGACCTCATTGAATGATCATGGTACAAGTATCTGACATGGTACTTGCAGGTTTTTAGATGTGCAATTAGATATCAGTTGAGTAACTGGAATGCCCAAGACGTGATTGAATGAACATCATGGTATGAGTATTAGAGTCAGTAATATGTTTTTTTAATGTAAGCTTAAGCAGCAAAAGTAGTGAATGTGATTGACATGATATATGACGAGCAGTGTCTTGGAAAATAGATAAACCAATCTTATTACTTGTAGCCGTTCATGCAAGTTGAATTTGACAGCAACAATCTTTGTAAGTTGGAGCAACCAATTAGTCTGCTATGGGGCCTTTAACATAATGATATGTTAGAACACGCAATTAACACCTCAGCTGCATCAAAGGTTAGCTGATATGCCTCCTTAGTCCTTATAGCTTGTGCTATGCGTAGATGGGTGAGAAAGGGTTGGAGATATGCTTCTTTACTGGTTTTCTTATGAACACTGCTGCATTGACATGGAAGTTGAATAGGGAGTGGTGGAGGGTATTTTGTATTAGCCGCAAGATCTCATTAAATGGTCGTGTAAATAATCATTGGGTTGTTTGCTTCCACTTATGGAACCTTTTAATGACTCAACTGCTGATGGAATAAGATGTAGGTTGATTAAGATTTCTTTCCTCATTCTCTCACCCATTAGACTAGTTAATAGCCATACCCTTGATTAATCAATTAGTAGTGACTCCTAACATGATTATCAACAACTACTCCTTTATTCCAAAAAAGTATGAAGTTTGATTTGGCACATGGTATAATAAGTCATTCGACTAATAGTCAAATATCATAAATACCCTGTTAATAAAACTAAATTGAGAAAACTTGTGGACCAAAATCAGTTTCTTAAATATCTTGTAATAACTGTTAATAAGCAAATAGAGAAAGATGGGCTGGAATCTTTTCAAAAAAGAAATGTTGCATCTTTTTGGAGAACCCAAAATAGAAAGTGTTGCAAATCTTTGTTGGACAGGGGGAGTATATAGTTTCTCATTCATGGTATATAGGCAATCTCTGCCTACAGTAAAGTTGCACTCAACGAGCCAAAAATCATTCTATTTTGCACTGATGCACACTAAAATCAGATCTCCTTACATCCCCAGAAAGAACTAGAAAAATTCCTTACTCACTTGCCATTACGTGTCATGTTGCAAAGTTCTGCCATTGATTTCAGATTCTTTTTTCTTAAGGCCTTCAATTTGACCAGGAAAATAAGATTAAAAAATAAATTAAATCTGTAAATGATAATCTTCTTCAGACTACTACCTGCAAGGTCGAAATTGCCGTGCAAGTGGGCGTTATGTATCAGCATTGAGATTTGAGATGGTGATCATGGGAAACGATGTGCAAAAGTCTAGAGATGAGTTATGTAACTTTTTATAGAAGACCTGAAGTGTTGAAGCCTGTGAAATAGAAATGGTTTGATTCAAGATATAGTTGTTAGGTTTTCTTAGGGAATATTTGATAACTGTTCATTAAAATGAMATGTTAACCTCCAAGGGGTTGCACTAGATAAGCTTGGGACCTGATAAACAAGTTTTGGTTTACTATCAACCTTAGGGGCCACAACCCGCTGGTTAGAAGGCCTATTTGTGGTCTATGTGGAGGGGTTGCTTTTCATTGACCCTGTTGACTAGTTGAGCTAAATGTGCCAGGACCTTAGAAAAAAAGAATTGCAACATGTTGCATTAGTTGGTTCAAAGCCTAATGCATGTTATATCAAACTGTATAATTTTGTTGAAGACCAATGTGGGGAAATGATGTCCGTGGTGTGAAAAATGTGTTATACAAGTTTTTCTTTCAAATGACAACCGAGTACAAAATCACAACCATCATGACTGTGGTTACCGCAGCCATGTTATCTCCTTGTTTTAGATATCTGAAAATAAGCATCTTCATATCCAATATGTCTGGCATTGAAATAACAATATCCAATCGATTCTTCGGATCACAATTGATAGGTTAGATGATGATGATATATGTTATGTTGTTTGATTTAGATGAATAGCAGATGCTTAACTACTAACATTCATTTTGTTGTACTAATGGCACTTTCATCTATGGGTACTAGCATTACTGTTAACTTGTAGGATGGACGGCTTTGTACATTGAATTAATTACAAATTCAGAACTATGTGCCATGAGTAGACTGTTTCATGGAATTGTGGTTATGAATGAAATTTATATCTTTGAGCTTCATAATTTGATGCTAAATGTTCTTTATAAATCTGACACCTTGTAGACATGATTGAATTTTTATCTTTTCTGTTGATATGCTATAGCCTATAAGCCTGAAGCATCCTTCCTTTCTTCGGCCAAGTTCCCTTTGCTTTTTCTAATGTTGTAGAGGGATCCACAAATTAGAACTTAAGTTTTTCCCGTGGTACAAGTTTACAAAGTGTGAAATCGAATATGATACAAATCCTAGTAGATCTAGCTCACTCTCCAACATGTATATCGTGGGTTTTTAATTCGTAAGTGTAATCAGTTTGTAGATTAATTCTTGTTTGGGTTGATCTGGCAGTGTTTCAAACAAAAAAAGACTTCCCAATTTCCAGTTTTCCGAGAAATATCTTCCTGATTCCAAGTGAAAGTTTTCAAACTTCTAGCATCTAGTTTTAAGATCATTTGTTTGATGCATATCTGAACTTCCGAAATGTACTCTTGGGTTAATCTGGTGTACGATCTTTAGGTGCAAGGGATGTTGAGTCGATGAGAACTTTTGTTTTGGAAGAAACAGAAAAAGCAGCAACGAACGAACAGCTAGAGGATGATAAAGATTTATGATCTACCAAGGTAATTCGACATAGTTTTAATATGCTTGTGTAAACTTTCAGAATCTTTTGCTACAAATGTGTTCATATTACTCTTTTCATTAAGTACCTAATCTCTTCAAGTACTTGCTATATCTGAAACAGGAGGTCCTTTCTGAAAATTATCTTAGCAGACGCTATTTGGCGGGATTACTTGATAGTTGAACAAATGCTATACTTGGATAGGAATGGTAGAAGCTTTTTAGAGACTACAACGATGAACGTTTTTGCATATTTAGTTTAATCCCCATTCCTGTGTTTTGTATTCCTACTGTCAATGTAGACCTTGCTTGTGATGAGGCAGCAGTTTTTCAAGTAAAGCAAGTTGGATGTTTGTGTACCATTTTTTTTATCAAGTTGTGGATCACATATTGGTGCAAGGAAAAATAAATTATGATCTGTGGATCAACACAATGTAGAGAGAGAATCCATGGCAATATTACACCAACAAATGGAATATTCTAGACATTTAGCAGTCCCGTTCGTCGATTTGATGGAGCATTTTGTATGCTCTAAGAACATCTCGTCAAAGACATTGTTACAAACTGAGAATACTCGAATGAGAATTGAGTCATTCGGTATCTTCAACATGACAGACAAGGTCACTGTTTCATGTTTGACAAGTTTTTACATGGAACAGACGTCTTTCATCCCCGACCCATGGAACAAGAAGTTTATATTTTACAAATATACGTTTAAAATAAAACTTTATTCTCTTTTAAAACGTTAAATAAGTATCCTTCTTTACATTTTATTCATTGCATGTTTGCATTATTGTTACCAAAATATTATTTTTATATACTTTAGTTAATTTACTAAATATTAATGATAAAAAACAATATATATAAAAGGTATAAGTAAATATCAGAACTTGACAAACTTCATATTATTGTGGAAAACCTTTTAATAATATATTTTGTTTTGTTGTAAAAATATTTATTTTATTATAATTTAATGAATGTCTAAATTACATCAAGTAATCGGAATATATAATCCTTGTGACTCAACAGAAAAACATAACAGTTACAACTTACAACCAATCAATCCCCTTTTCTGATATTTTGGAACCATTTATAGAACATACCTTGGTGGCCCAATTTGATCATACAAATTTCCATAATTCATCTCAAGTTCATACTGAAGCTTTCTGCAAGTATCTCTATCCACAAACCTTTTCTCTTCCCACTCGGTAAGCAAACTTATGGCATCTCCGTGCCTCTGCTGTCTGCAAGATTCATCAAGCAATGTCCAGTAGGTTATATAATCGGCTGACCGTTCGTTTTCCGTCAACTCCCGCAAGTAACTCACAGCTTGGTCGAGTGCCCCCTCAAGTGCAAGTGAGCTCACAAGCGAGTTATATGATTTACTGCTTGGGACAAAACCTTTTGCCTTCATTTCATCACAAATCTTCCTAGCATTACATGTTCTTCCTTGCGAACATAACCCATGGATCAAATAATCAAATGTAAACGAATTTGGACGACAATCATAAACGACACCCATCTGATGGTATAATCTGAGGGCGTCGTTGAGATGAAGCGAGAGCACGTACCCTTTGATCATTGAATTCAAAGCGAAAATGTCGGGATCAATCCCATCATCAACCATCTGCTTGAACAGCATGCTCATAGTATCCATATACATATGGTTTATGTAAGTATTGCTTCTCTTGCTCAAAAACGCAGCAAACAGAAGATTATACGTTCGAATCGAAGGTCTACAATCCAATTTCCCAATGCTTCTCATGTGTTTATACACATTAACAGCTCTACTCAACTTCCTTGCCTCTGTGAAGAAGTATATCATCGTATTGTAAAGAACTTCGGAACCAAAAGATGGAATCGATAATACCTCGTTGACAACATGATCCATTTCATCGTACATTTTTGCAGCACCGAGCTTCTTAATGGTGACATGATATGTGGATACATCATGTGTAAACCTAGGTTGTTTAGAAGCCCAATTGAACAACTCTAAACACACCAATGGATCTTCTTGTACATTGATCAAATTATCGAGCTCTTCAGGTTTAAACCGAGGCAGAAGCTGTGAAACAGCTCGGTGAAATTTGAATTCATCTAGGGTCGGCTTGAAAGCAGCTAAATTTCTTTTGTTGACTCTTTTCCTGTAAGATTTTGATGAAAAGAGGGAAACTAGCATGTATCTGCTACTAAACTCACTTGAACGTTTAGGGTTTTGGGGAACTTTGAGATCAAAGCGGATTCGCTTCAAATATCGTATGGATTTGGATGCCATACTCATTGTATCCAAAATCTACATAGCAATTTTCGCCAAAGGGCAGACTAAATCTGAAGAACAATTACTGTAGATGGTATCGAGAATTTGTGATTCGTCTGGTGATGATCGTTCCTTCATTGCATCCAACAAGGCTGAATTGATCAAGAATTGGCTTTGAGGGTTTTGCAGAATGCGATCATCCTGAATTTTTTATAATTAAACTTGTATAAGAAGCAGTCGATAAAAAAAACTTAATTATCAAAGTAAATGTAAATTTATATAAGTATTACTAATGACCTGTTGACTCAAAGCTTATTCAGTCAGTTTGGCAATAGCTTAACAATATAGAAAGTGACTTATTAAGTAAGTTTCTAAGGGTTTGAAGCCGAAAATCAAGTTTTTTTTTTTTTTCCAAACATGTACCTCCTTAGAAAATCAAGTTTTTTTTTCCCATCATGTACCTTAAATCTAATTCTTTATATAATATATATATATATATATATGATATATTTAATATTCGGAGACGGGATAGAATGGGACGGGGACCATGTTACCCGGCCCCATCCCCATCCCCATCCCCGATTTTTAACTTTCGGGGATCCATGTCTCCATCCCCGTCCCCGGTTTTGCAGGGAATCCCCTTCCCCGTCTGGGCAGGTACAACCGGGTTCCCCAATGGGGCGGGTCTCAATCTCATGCCTAGTCCCTTCCAATTCAAAACACATTCCTTCTATCTATGAAAAAACCTTCTCAATTTATACACAGATTAATTCACATAGACAGTTGTCCATACAAAACTTAATAAAAAACCAACCAAACAGCCTCTTAGTTGAGTAGGAATATGCATAATAGATTCATAATTTTATCGTTTGTGCAAGTGTACACCCAACAACAATCATAACATTCAACAACTTATTCTCGTGTCAATTTGAACAGTTGGCATCTTTGAGAGAAAACAAATTGTTCTGGGGTTCAGAAATTGCGGGCAACAAGGGTCTGTAACATAACTTTGCAACCAAAAAAGAGACATAGTGACATGTATAACCAGTAACCGATAATAGTCTAAATGCATTCCTAATAACCTTTGTCTTCACCATTTGTTCACAAGAAAATGGTCATTAGTGATGCTCGAGCTTAACAATATTTAATCTTATTGACGATCATCGAAGTGAGTGTCTTCCCATGGTTCAGGAATTACATCAAACAGTTGGTGGGCGTCACGAATCTAACACTACATTTTGTAGTCAAATGAAATTGCATTAAACAATCGATGTAAAGAGTATAAATAGTTGAAGATAGGTTACCTTGGAGTTGAAGATAAGAATCAGATGTCAGTCAAGCACCAGGCAATTTAGGGCAGATACAGAAACTGTATATACAACATTTTGACATTGACTTGTGGCCCATGGGTACGTGCTCTCGCTTCATCTCAACGACGCCCTTAGATTATACCATCAGATGGGTGTCGTTTATGATTGTCGTCCAAATTCGTTTACATTTGATTATTTGATCCATAACTTCTTGAAACACCTTCTATCCATCCTAAGTTGTGATATGCACATGGTGTCACTATGTTAGGCATACCTATGCAATATTGAAGATCAATCCATATTCGAACACGAATATTGAATACGGGGTCTATCCCTTATATGTTTGGCTACTAAGCAACAAACTGTAATGAAAATTCAAGTAATAGCGCTCATAGCTTCTTCCAAAAACAATCGCAGAATCCTACATTTGCGTGTTGTGAGACTAATTCAGGCCATTTCCTGTTTTCCAAAAACACGAATATTGAATACAACTTGTTAAACCCAAAACAGATTTGTTGATGAAAGAGTAATTCATATAGCATGAAACAGATTCGTTTAATACAACTCCACCTTCAGGTGGGATATACGGTTTCTCTTGTTTATATAGATGATCATCTGTCCATCAATGGTGTTGACACTAGAAAACCCAGTAGTTTCCTTGATATGTATAACCACTTAAAGGGATGATTAACATGAGATAGATAACTACTTTTTAAATGGGTATGAGACTCCACACCCAAATCAACCATATATACTAAATGACAGTGTAAAGAGACTCCACATTCACCTCAATCTCATGCTTCAAATCAAATCAAATAGGGGTCCAAGACTGCTGCACATTTATGTCCTACAAGACTCCAATAACAATACCAAAATCAAATTCACCTCAATCCCATGCTTCAGAACCCTGCCAATTTGGTTTCCCCCAATTTATGTCCTACAAGGCTTTCTCAAATCATCAAAGAAATATACACATAAATTGCAAGTACATAGTTAACCATCGAACCTACTACAATGAAAGATCAAATACCCAGAAAATCCCTCATCATTCAAGCAAAAAAAATGAATATTGGGAAGAAGGCTGAAACTAGAAGACGGCCGTAACCATTGGTAAAGACGGCCGTTTTTGGGTGTAACTAGAAGAAGGGTGAAACTAGAATACGACCGTTTTAGTGGGTGTCCCGTAGCCATTGGTAAAGACGGCCGTTTTTTGGGCCGTATGAGAGATGAGGGGCCGACATTTTTAATCGGAGGTTAACCAAGATTCAATTATATGTGTAATCATAAATAAGCAAGCAAAACAGAGAAGAGCAAAGATTAAAGAGAAACAGAAATCAAGCAAAACAGAAAAAAGCAACAGTAAATAGAGAAATCGAGCAGAAATCGAGCATGGAGAAACAAAGATCAGGCAAAGATTAAAGAGAAATCAAACCTATTAGCGAGTTGGTGTTTGATGGAGAAGCAATCCAGCCGAAAATGGTGTTCGATGGAGAAGCAATCCAGCAGAAACGGTGAAGAGGCTGTGTCGGTTTCTTTGTGAGAGTAGGGTATAACACGGGTATTATGAAAATAAGAAATTTCCATTAAAATCTCATATATTTATTAAGAAATATTAAAATCTTTTCTTAATGGAATTTATATGAATCTAAAGATTACTTTTTGAAAGAAATTTATCATTTCAATTCTTTCAGATTCTTTTATAATTTTTCAGAATTTGCAAATCAAACGTCACCCTATATTTATGTTGTTTTTCTTAAACTTTTACTGGTCTTAGTTATCTATCATAAATAGCGATGGCCAAAACAGGTCACGGACTTAAATAAATCCGGTCATAACGGGTCCCGGTTGAAAAGAGTGATCCCAATTAAGCTTTATTGTAACCGGTTACAAGCTGCCGATCCCGGTCATTAAAAAAAATTAAATTTTTTTAATGATATATATATATATATATATATATATTAATACATTATAATATTGATAATTGGGTCATTCAAATACATTTTAAAGTGCGTTTTATTATAATTAAAATTACATTGTCTTACAAAAATACATTATAAAAACCGAGAATTGTGAAAATGTTTTTGCGTTTTTTGAAAATTGAGAACGTGATATGTAAACCCCTCGACCAAGACACTTATTTATAGTGTTTAGAAGGCAAAAAATGGCTACCTAACGGCTATTTTTAAAAAAAATTCGGGTCAGACTGGGCCGGGCAATAACCGGTTCCGGTTTTCAGTCCCATAACCGTCCCTTACCAGTCCTCCGGCGGTCTCGGACCAGGCCGGGCCGGTCTGGCCATCAAATTTGAAGAACTTGCAAGCATAGAGTGAAACTTTACAAGATACTTAACATCTAAGACGAAATAGGTAGGAAATTAGTTGTAATTATGTATTAGAAAAAGTGTAACAATTATTTTGATAGTGTTTAATAAATAGGTATCATTTATCTACCTAATAGTATAAAGACAGTAGAAACCATCTATAACCATTCACTACTTAATTATTAACAAGTAAATAAACAAGTATTGGCTAATTTGCTTATTCTCGAAAGAAACATTTCTTTTTCCTTTATTTAGAAATAAAATTTAAATTTACATATATAACATTACATGTTTTCAATTTTAAGTTTATGCTTTAAAACATTTAATCATTAATGAAATACCAGTGACAGAATTACATTACATATATATACACAAACATGTATAAAATGGAAAATAAGGACTTGTTGGAAGTCCGAACAAGACTGCCTCCAGTCCAGATACAAGAACGAAGCATGAAGTTGCAATTGGTATACGTATACATTAATGGATGTGTTTTTCAATTCATTCAGTGTTATATTGATCGACATGCCGAGAAATTACCAATGGAATGAGAAATTACCAATGAAATGAGAACTTTGTCTACTTGGTGATAGGAAATGTAGACATAAGACTACAAATAAGCCTTACCCTGCGACAGTAATACCTGCAATTGCAAACAGAAGAAATACCAAACAGAAAAAAAATTAAATATTCAGGAAATGTAAAAAAGTTGGATAACAGATATGAAATTGTTTTACCGACTCCAACAACAAACTCATTGCGGTAGACCACTATAAATTTAACCCACAACAAAAGTCTGCAATACCAAAACTCTTCAACAAAATGTAAAGTTCAAAACTAGTAATTGAAACGACGACAGATAACATAAAAACACCATAATAACCAAAACACAATCACTTTATCACTTGGCTCCCTTCTTCACTGCAGCCTTGGTCACCTTAGCTCCCGTTGGGTCCTTCTTGTCAACACTCTTGATAACTCCAACAGCGACTGTCTGACGCATGTCTCTCACTGCAAACCTTCCAAGAGGTGGGTACTCGGCAAAAGTTTCAACAACCATGGGCTTGGTGGGAATCATCTTCACCATACCAGCATCTCCGTTCTTCAAGAATTTAGGCTCCTTTTCAAGCTCCTTTCCAGATCGTCTGTCGATCTTGGTCAATAGCTCTTGGAACTTAACAGCAATGTGGGAGGTGTGGCAATCSAGMACKGGTGCATARCCRTTWCCRATYTGSCCWGGRTGGTTCATGATRATMACCTGRGARGTGAARYTMGMWGCACCCTTKGCYGGRTCATCYTTGGAGTTGGAWGCAACRWACCCACGCTTMAGATCCTTSACSGCAACATTCTTAACGTTGAACCCAACATTGTCACCAGGGAGAGCCTCAAGAAGGGCTTCATGGTGCATCTCCACAGACTTAACTTCAGTTGTCAACCCAGATGGTCCGAAGGTAACAACCATACCAGGCTTGATGACACCAGTCTCAACACGTCCCACAGGCACAGTTCCAATACCACCAATCTTGTAAACATCTTGGAGTGGAAGACGAAGGGGCTTGTCTGATGGTCTCTTGGGCTCGTTGATATTGTCAAGAGCATCAAGAAGGGTTGGACCCTTGTACCAGTCAAGGTTGGTCGACCTCTCAATCATGTTGTCTCCTTCGAAACCGGAGATTGGCACAAATGGGATTTTGTCAGGGTTGTATCCAACCTTCTTCAGGTATGAAGAAACTTCCTTGACAATTTCCTCGTACCTTGACTTGGAGTATTTGGGTGTGGTGGCATCCATCTACAATAACCATAGCAAGAAACAATTAGCAAAACTATACAAAATGAACAATTTCAAAACAGTATACGATTGTGAAATTGTATAAACAAACTCCTCACCTTGTTACAACAGCAAATCATTTGCTTGACACCAAGAGTGAAAGCAAGCAGAGCATGCTCACGGGTCTGACCATCCTTAGAAATACCAGCCTCAAAACCACCAGTGGTTGAGTCGATAATAAGGACAGCACAATCAGCCTGGGAGGTACCAGTAATCATGTTCTTGATGAAATCACGATGTCCAGGGGCATCAATGACTGTGCAGTAGTACTTGGTGGTCTCAAACTTCCACAAGGCAATATCAATGGTAATACCACGTTCACGCTCAGCCTTAAGTTTGTCAAGCACCCATGCGTATTTGAACGACCTTTTGTTCATCTCAGCTGCTTCCTTCTCGAAACGTTCAATCACACGCTTGTCAATACCTCCAAGCTTGTAGATCAAGTGACCAGTGGTTGTAGACTTGCCGGAGTCGACATGTCCAATGACGACAATGCTAATGTGAATCTTTTCCTTACCCATCTGAGATAACAAACAAACTGTCAGGACAGACCCAAAGCTGTATTCAAATACCTCAAAAAAACAAACAATCAAGCAATTTGTCAAAGCCAGACCAATCAATGATGTGATAAAATAACAAATGCATTTTAAATTAGCAGAACAATAATAACCTGAGTTTGATTCAAGTTTAATGCAAATGACTTAATAAAAATCCATTTCGCTTTGATTCAACACATGAAATTTACATTTATAAAAGATTTATGAATTAAACGAACGAAAATCGATTACAAAATGAATCAAAGACACAAAACATTATCAGCAAATACTGAGAGTTATATTTATATATAACCCAACCATCTATATCAGTGACTTAGAAAATAGTTATTTTACCAATAAAATAGGCTGAACTATTTCGATCTAAAAAAACACCAAAGAAAATTGTGAAATATTGTCTTAAAATTTTCATCAACTAAAACCCAAAAGTAACGAAGAACTTATCTATGTTTAGCTAAGATTCATACATAAATATAACTACCCGCCTTTGAAAAAGCAGATCTAAAGTATTTCTTCTCAAATCGAGTGGTTAAATATGAAAAACATCATGCTACAAACCAAATCACATAAATCTAAGAATCGATCAATAAACTACAAACTCTGTGTGCAATTAACAAAGAATACAATCTTATATAACAACTCCAAGTAATTTTAGCATATAAACAACGCTTGTAGCTGATGATTCAATTGAAAGCTTGACCATCGGTGCAAGACTCGTAAGAATCAATCAACAAAGCGATTACTTTAGCAGACATCTAGATATACAGGTATTCAAAGATCAATAACATCTATAGCTACAGATTCGTCGTATTAAAACAAACGATGTCCGTAACCTAAACAGATCTGTACATAGCTAGATGCATACAGACTAAATCAACAAGATTTAGAAAGCAAAATCGAAAGAGGAGCACTGACCTTAACGAAATATCTGCAGACAAGCTCTCAAGATAGATGGAGGAAAATGAAGAATGGGAGGAGTGAGGTGCAAAGAGAGGTTTTATAAGTGAAGTAAAGAAGGTTTGAGATTAGGGTTTTTTAAGAGCCGTTGGATTAAGTAATCTGACGGTCGTGGCGATGAGGGGTTCGGAATCAGCCGTGGATTCCATAGTGTGATGCCCTAGCCAGCCTCCTTCCTCTTTTTTGCTTTGCTATTGTTAGCTTTAGGTATGGATGAGTCGTGTAATTACCATATTATCCTTGTCAAGGTCCGATAATATCGATTCATGTCCCTTTTATTTATTCTTTACTTTCTTTTTGCAATAATTAGAGATATGCACGGTCTTTGTCGGGTGTGATAGCTAAGATTATTTTGATCAAGTCCACAAAAGAGATCTACGTCTCAGGGTTGTTTATTTATTTCTTAATAGTTTTATTAAAAAAATAGTTTTTAAACTGTTAATAGATAAATCTTGTTTGTTAAAAAAAATCTGCCTCTTAATTGTTTTAAAACCGTCTGAATAATTTTGTATCATGAATCTCTCTTAACCATTAAGAGCCCTAATTTCATTATACACAATTATCAAACAATTATATTTCATTTTGCATTATATCATGAGAGTCTTTTAATCATTCTGACCACTTAATTGTTTTGCACTGAACCATTCAACAATTATCAAATAGCCCCTTACTAGTCTTTTGTTTTTCCCTTTAAATTACAATTCTAATGAATTTATAAAATATTTTAATAATATTATTATATTATAATTGTTAAAATATAGTAGAAGTTGGAGCAGAGGTGAACCCAATTAAGGGCCTATGGTGGCACGTACCACCAGTAAATCCCTCTGTCTTAAGGTGAAAAATTTAGACTTGTAAAAGATGCAATCGTATTATTTTAGAAGGTATAACTGTTTTTATATAGTACCAACATATGGAGAAATTCTTAGATCCGTCAATATGTTGATGTAATCCTTTAGACATTTTGATTTTTTGAAATGTGCTATAAAGACTTATTGCCTAAAGTCTGAACTAGTGGTATATACAATTTGGCTTTTAATGAGCTACTAGAGCTCGTTTATTTTAAACTCCAACTTAATTATTTTCAAGCTCAAGTTGATTTAGTCAAAGTTAAGTCATTTGACTTTACGAGTTGGTTCCATAACACTAATGTTTGACTCGACTTGTTTGAGAGCTCAATTAAAATTTTCAATTGAGACGAGGTCAGTTGTGCCATTTGAACATACACTTTTTTTAGACAAACATGTTCACATATTCGTAAATCGTACAATTAAAATGTAAAAATATTGAGCTCGAGTCAATAAGTTAATCTATCTTGATTTCGAGCCCATAACTGATTTACAAAACATGGATTTTGTGTATATTATATAACCTAAATTTGTTAAACAAGCTTCAAGTTTCAGCTTGAATATTCAAAACATATTCAAGCTTGACCTTTTCTTTGGAAAGGTTACTAAAGCTCAACCGGAGTTTGAGCTTGATATCACCTTTTCAACTCGAACGGTCTACTATTCGCCTTGATTCAGCTCGTTGATACCCCTAGTATTAAATCAATATTGATTCAATCTAATATGGCGTGTCCCATTTAGTTTGGATTTTCATTTCTTAAAAAATTAACTGAATACATTTTTAATAGTACTATTCAATTACCATTAATGCTCTAAATGACATGAAGCGAGCCATTGCGTGCAGTCAAGCTTCAAGCCTTAGGAGGCATGACGAGACCACGACTTTTTTCAATGTATGACTTGTTGATGTAAATTTGTATACCATATATATGTGTACACGGATACGCATGTGTTTTCTACTATTACTCACTAGGTCAATGATGTTGAACAATTTAATAGAGGCTATTGCTAGAAACTAAAGTCATCCACTAAAAAGGTCAAAACAAATCAAATAACTCCTTGCAAAAAACACAAATAGGGTCATGGCGTGTCATGAACTTAGGGGCCGTTTACCAATCACTTACCCGGTAAGTGCTTATCGACAAAAATTAATACTTACCAAGTAAGATTTTAATCCATCAAAACGGCATCGTATGCAACAATTTACCCGGTAAGCACTTATCGTGGTAAGAGCCATTGTCCTCACTTACAAGGTAAGACCCTTGGTCCTTATCTTGCTCTTACCAGATAAGATTTTTTGTCCTTACCATAAAATATCCGATAATGTAATGTGATTTGGTAAGCGCTTACTCGGAAAAGCATTTGGTAAACGGCCCTAAGTTAAAAAATATACATTATCCGTAGTTGTTGATTTAGGTTTTAATTCATATACAAGTGACTCATTTTAATTTCAATATTTGATTTGGTTTTGTTAAAATAAGTTGTTTACCTAATCTAGTCCTTACCTGGTCTTAAAAAAGGCCGACTTACCTAAAGTTGGACCGATTAAATACCAACGGCCTAGTCTAATGCGAATCGGTCGGGAGTCTCTTTTCCCATCTCGAACAATAACAGTTTCAACCTTCTCTTTTTTCTAATTTCTTTTATTGTTATATTTTCTTTACGTTGTTTTTTAGCCCGGACAAACGGCATATTAAGTATTTTTATTATCCAATCATACAACTAAACAATACTAAATTAGAGTTATTTGAAACTATTAGGTGGTGATTTGATATAATTTTAGTATACAACTTGACTCCATTATTGGTACGTATGAAGCACAATATATAGAAAAACTAAGATAGGAGTTGGAAGATGTGTTACATGGATATCTGAGTCATAAATGAAAATCAATCATATATAATGATGGTTAAGATCGACCTAAGGTTTGGGACAATTATTGTTCATTGATAATGGGTTTACTAACATGATTGGAGCCTCTCGGGCATAGCACACTTTGTTTTAAGGTTGTATGGTTACACAAGTATCAAATATGTGAGCATTCGAGTAGTGACAAGCTCCATGCAGGAGTTACTAGGGTCGTGCTATCGGTGGGCACTAGTTCTTAAGTCAACCACCTAGCACTGTTGTGTATCTGATTTGTATCACATTATTGTCTTAGGAGTAGACGATGTGGACCTACTAAAGGTTGTTAGTTACAAACACTTTTACTCTCCCAAAGCAGGAAACAATGTATTGTTGACTATTACTCACAACTCGACAATTAGTAACTAAACTATACCCAATTAACCATTTTATGTCATTATCATATACCCCCGAAAAGAAAAAACAAGCATCCCCGTAGTATTACTTGTAAATGAAGGTTAATATGTTAACACTTGCGTTTATTTATTTCAATCGTACTATACAATGTTAAATTATTGATGATAGTTTTATACAAAGACACCTTTTTCCTTGATTTGTTATTTGTCGGTAACTTATGCATGTTCACAAGATAGACCCAAAGGGGTTTGTCCCTTTGATACATTCCAAGCAAGAGACTTGGATTTCACGTGTTCAATATAATATTTGTTATATTTACGAATCACTGTATGTTAGTTCTTTGGAGGATAACCACCGGTAACTATGAGTCTATGAATAGGCATGACTTGCATGGGTGATAGCATTGACATCTACCATCAACAATGATGTTAAAAAATATTACGGAAAAATTACACATGCATATTTACCTACAAATAACCTACCCTTTTCAAAGCAAATAATATGCATAAACTTCTTATTTCTTAACTCACATGACCGATGCATCACGTATACAAGTAATGGTAAAATAAACGATCATCTAACTAGTAACTAGAAACTCGGGTGTTTCATGATCACATGTTTGTTTTAAAATTTATAATAAAAAGCTTTATTACATATATGATATTTCACGATGATTTAATGTATAATACCAAGTTGTGGAATCAAAGCATCTACAAGCTTAAACTACACAACTGTGACAAAAGTTGGAATCAAATCATGACAAGAAACAACAATTTTAAGAACCTACAATCAAATCGAGGTCTTAAGCAAGTTAAACTTCACTACAATGACATATTTCACACATAATAAAGACTAAAAACAAACAAAACAAGGCATCAACGAATTAAAAAATCGTTGCAAGACACTAAGATTAATACCTTCTTCAATTATGACCATCTTCAACCAACTTCTGCACTCCATCAATATCCGGGATTCACCATCCATGAGTTCCTTCTCTAAGAAATGCAATCGACAATGGTGAGTCGACTTCTTAGATGACCCTTAACAATAATAATGTAAACTAAGCTTTTCTAAAAGATTTAAAAAACACACATTTAAATGGCGATTCATGCACATATTGACATTATTTAGCAATTGATATTCGGATAAGTTTGTATACATCTTGACTAACATTTACGGACACATTCTTAAAAAATATTTGTCGATGGTGCTAACTACTTAAACAACTAATAATAAAAGTGTTGCACGTCACTGTCAAGAACATGTACTATGTTCTTTCCCTTCATGTTCAAATCTAAATTATTCGCTGCTTGAAAAAAAAAGCGTTGCCCATAATCCTAAACCACTAAGCAAGAAAATGAGTCATAAAGTTGAATATACATGTAAACAAAGGAAATGTGAAAGTACATGGAACTCTTTTTTTTAGAAAGTAATCGAGGAGAAAAAGAGAACCTCACATATATAGAAAGAAAATGATCTAAGTCTAACCGAAGTAAAACTCTAACAATAACATTTATCAAAGACTAATTGTTTTCTATAACTTAAAATAATGCTATATGTATCGCTAGGCAACTCTAGCAAATTTAACAGAAAAAAACATTTTTGAATGAATCATATACAAAAACAATCATGAAAATTCAATGGAGTCACTTGAATGTACAATGACCATGTGTGGAGGGATGCACCTATGTCCGCAGCTCCCGTGCATCGGTACAACTTATTTTCGCAAGTAATAAATTTTTTTGAGGTATGAAAGGTCTACCAGTTAAATTTAGATGGATGCTCCTCGCCTCCTATATATTATAAAATATAAGGAACATCAACCAAAATACATCAAAATCAATAAAAAAAAACCAAAAAATTATCTATAAATCAACCAAAAAAACAGAAAAGTTCATTGAAATCGAAAAAATAAAGAAAAATTCTCTCAAAATCAACCAAAAAACTTTAAAAATA